AAAAAGAAACGTTAGTGTGATATGTTGTTTGCCTCTTACTGGTTTAATAAGAATAATCCTTGCATTTGATATAACGCATTATCACATCATTGAGATGTCTCCAAGAGCTTCACAGAATATACTGTAAAGTGAATTGACTATGTATTTTGTGGGTGAAATTTGCATGATCTTCCTGCCTCCCCCACCTTTCCCAGGTATATAATATTCTGCAATTCCATTTCTAAATGCTCTTTGCATGGGTCTTAATCTAAGATGCACTATTTCCCTGGGTGGTATTTATTGGTCTGCAATATAATGTAATGTTGGGAATGTAAGTGATGCTGGCCTTCAAATATCTCTGAACCCAGTGTGGTTTATTACAACCGTGAGCCCCGATAGTGAAAAAAATACAGTAGCTATAACTTATTCTCATAATGTTGTCTCAGGGCCAGGAGAGAAGCTGTGATATTTCAAACCAAGCTTGAAGCTCTGTAAATTGCAGCAGATTCGGCTGAAAACTCTGAGGGAGTCATAAGTCAAACATTGCTCATTTCTTTCCCCCACAATTCAAGCCTCCAGCTACTCTTGTTCACTTTTTACAAATCTATCTCTGGAATTTCCATGTGTAGGTGGGATGCATGGAAGCTCTCAGTTTGGTTTATAATAATAATAACAAAATAATAAAAATCCTTGCATTTGATGTAGCGCTTTTCACGTCTTCTCGACATCTCAAAGCTCTTCACAGAATAGACTGTAAAGTGAATTGACTGTATATTTGTGGGCGAACCCGGCAGCCAGTTGCACACAGCAGTGTCCCACAAACAGTCGTGGATTGAAAATGACCAATTTATTATTGTTTTGTTTTTGGAAGGATTATCATTAGGCGTGTGGAGTAAGGAAACTTGCCCAAGGTTTCACCCTGCCTGGAATTTAACTCAGGTGTCTTGTTTGCAAGGCAAGTGCTCTAACCACTGAGCTACAGGATTCCACAGGTTTGGTTATTCTTAAGCATGGTGATGAGTTTCCGTATGTGTCAGACCCCGACTAACCCCAAAATAAAATTGTTGTTGTTGAATTCGATTCTCTGCCGCGAATTCAGACGAGTGGCAAACTGCAAAAGACATGGTCACTCAGTTCCTGATTTTGACCTGCACTTTCTGTGCTTTTTTCTGCTGGAACACTGGGAGCTATTTGCTCATTTCACCTGATCTGCCATTCTTAACGCCCCCTCCACCCACCCACATTCCATGCAACTGACACACAAAGTACTGATGTACTGGCGAAATTTGCAATTCCATCTGGCTCTTGCTAACCTGCGTCTAATACTTTCTGGAATTAGGTAAGCAGGATGTGTCCCTCCAGGGACGGAGTGCACATTCCATTCCAACAATCTGTCTCTGGGATTTCCTTGTGTAGGTGGGATGCATGGAATTCTCATTTTGGCTTGATATACTGTAACATGGTATGACTATATGCATTTTGTGCGCAAAATGGACAATGTCCCATAAACAGCCATGGAGTGAATAATCAAATTTAGATGGAGGATTGTTCACCAGGACACTGGGATAAATGCCCTTCACTTTTTGAAAAGTGCCATGGGATCTTTAATGTCCACCTAAATGGGCAGACTGGTTAACAGCTCATCGAAAAAATGTCAGTGCAGTGCACCCCAAACACTGGATTGGTGTGGGGCTTGAACCCACAACCTTTTTTAGGGTTGTCTCTGAGATACAAAAAAAAATCCCTGGCTGAGATGCAAAGATACTGGCCACCGACTTGAAAAGTGCTTCCTACAGTCATTCAGACACAAATAAATGGGCCCAGCACCACATAACACCTCCCCGGGCTTTTCAGCTTATTTTATTGAGCACTATGGTACAACATGAAGTACCTCACTTGATTGAATCTTTTAGTCCAAACACATGCAATGTATGAGCAAAGGTAATTTTTTTTTTGGGGGGGCATGGAGGGTGCTGCGTAAAAATTAGTCATCTGTCAATGGCATCTAACATTGTTTAACATTGTAAACCAAGGTACCTTTCAAGCATTGCTTGAATAGATACAATGTTAGACACAAGAATCGGGATTTGAATGAAAGTACAATTACGACCTTAGCAGGTGATTTGCCCCACCCCACACCCATGTTCACACGTTTTCTGAAAAAAGGCACATTACATTTTTCAACAACAACTTGCATTTATATAGGAGGGGAGGGGGGATGACCCCGAAGTGATTTGTAAAAAGTGGGGGCAAAATGCAGTGTTTCAGAACAAATGATAATTACAAAACGTTTATCGTTTATGAAACGTTTAAAACACAAAGTTGGTGAAATGTTACATTCTCACTCCAGTGCTTCAGTGTGATTTAGTTATCCTGAAATTCACAGGAGCTGTGGATTTCATTACGAAAGACCTCCAGGCTATGTTGTACATGCTGTAAACACAAAAATGATTAAGTTTTTGTCAGCAGCCATGATCACAGCCTTGTAAATATTTTACATTTTAAACGGCACATTAATTTCATGAGTCTCTTTGGTTAAGCTGCAGACACGGAGTTCCCGAGAAACAGGCAGACTTAGATAATAATAATCCTTGCATTTGATATAGCGTCTTATCACGTTGTTGAGACGTCTCAAAGTGCTTCACAGAATATACTGCAAAGCGAATTGGCTGTGTATTTTGTGGGCAAAACACGGCAGCCTATTGCGCACAGCAACATCCCACAATCAGTTGTGGCCAAATTATCAAATGACCAAATTTAAATGTCAAACCCATTGAGAATGGTCATTATTCCCAGAGACGGACTGAAATACAATACAAAATTACATTTGTATAGCGCCTTTTACGTCGGGAGGATCATCCCACGGCTCTGGATGATCTGCCTTGGGATGATACAATAGATGATGCCACATTTTGTTCGATTCACTGACATGTAAAGTGAGTTAA